CAGGAAAGTGGGACTACTGTAGGTAGTAGTGTATTTTTAGTGGTACAGACTTAATGGGCTGTACTGTATGATTCTATGATTCTGCGAGGTGAGACTACATGTGCTCTGCTCACCAAACTGCAGACATCAGGAATATCCAAGTTCTCTCAGGGTGGGGGCTCATGGTGGCACCACTGGCTTCAGTGTCTTGGGGATAAGGAACATGAAAACTGTCAGGGTTCCCACTCGTAGCAGCTGTATAAGGAGCCGGCATCGTATCACAGTCAGATTGTCAATCAGTGCTGATTTACACTCAATAAAGGCAGTTGATCCTTGTGAAATATTCCATGAATGTGAATGTTTGGAAGGTGGGGACTGAGCTGTGTTTGTGAACTGCTGAGAACTGGGCTGAGGATTGATGAGTTGGATGTCATTGCTTATCTCTTATAATTCTGTTTGCCCTGACTCCCAGGTCAACCTGTTTTTTCTACTCAACATTGTTCGAGTTCTTATCACAAAGCTGAGGGTTACCCACCAGGCGCAGTCAAAAGCCTACATGAAGGTTGTGCGAGCCACATTGATTCTGGTGCCATTGCTTGGCATTCAGTATGTTCTGGTTCCATCAAAACCCAAAGGGCACATTACTGGAGAGATTTATGAACATGTGATGCACATCTGTATACATTATCAGGTAAAGTATTTTCATGGCTTCTTATGGACAACCAGTCCAGGACCGTTGCCCAGTTTCCTGTTGGGTGAGGGCTGAGCCCTATTGACATTCTGTCTGCCATTAAACTAATTCAAGCTCTACCTTAGTGTTGCTCACAAATCAACAGAATAATGAGTGATGGGCATACAGCTGGGCATGTATAGGGCAAAGTATCACCAGCGTGTCTCACCAGCTGCCCCACACAGAGAGTACAGAGGAAAGTCCCAGGCTCTGTTCATGGCCACTGCTGAGTGAGCTGCAACAGGTACAGGGCTTAGATTTGGTATTTGTGTCCCTGGGCTGAAGAAATGCAAATCAGCCGAGGGGTGCTGCTCCTGGCCACTGTGCAGTGACTCCTGCTTGCCACTTGGCTGAAGTACTAAAGGATGCTTCATGAGGGCAACACTCTGGGAATAGCAGAGAGAAGTTGTTTGATTTTGTTTAACATTGAACGTCAGATAAAACAGTTGGTGTCCTGAAACTTAATTTTGGAGCCTAAATGGGGATACCATACCACAGATTCTGACCTTTCTAGTTTTTTTCAAACATTGTAATCTGCCTATCCATCCAATTCTGTCCACAGATGTTCTGGTGATACCTCAGCTCTGTTTGTTTCCAATCTACAGGCCATGATCTGTTTAGTACTACATACCTGTGCATTAGTAACACTATATTGTGATGGCACAGCACAGGAGACCTACACTCCCAAATAACATCCTTCCACTGATGCATCCCCATTTGAGAGGTGGGATGCAGGTTGTTCCAGGGACTTCCTCACACGCAGAGCCCCGCAGTCCAATTGGTCACTGTCTGAAGTTACCAGCTTGTGGGTGGGAAACTAACCCATAAGGAGAGAACCAGGTGATGGACTGTTGGATTATAAAACTGTCAGTATGGTCCAAGATCAATTTGATGGGCCATGGTCCTTGTCATTTCAATGATTTACTGACTCCTGTGTTCATACAGATCTCCTAAACCACATTGCAACCTATAGGTTACTTGAGAAGTGCATTCCTGTTGCAATGTGACTAATTCACACACAAATGGTTCTTCACATTTGAACAGTCCAGTCCATTTCAAATTGCAGACAGGTAGTTGCTTTGGAACTGAATGTTCTGACAGACTTGCCCTCTCAGAACTGGTGGCAGAATGACCTGAGCTTGACTGGATAGGGAACTCCCAAACATGGCTAAATGATAAATAAATCTGCTTTATTTTACAGGGTATACTGGTGACAACGATATTCTGCTTTTATAATGGAGAGGTGAGTTTGACTTCCAAGATTTTGCATGAGTTACCAAGCTCTAGCCAAGCCCATTCAAGTAGAATTCCTGCTCTCAGTACAACATTTTTCCTGCCAACATTGCTCATCTGGGATGTTTTTAATTTATTCTTTCATGGGATGCAGGCATCGTGGGCAAGGCTGACATTGTTCTCCATCCCTTATTGCCCCTAAAGTGAGGGGCTTGCTTGGCCATTTCAGAAGACAGTTAATTGCTGTGGATCCATATTGCTGTGGATCTGGAGTCACATGTAGGCCAGAGCAGATAAGGATAGCAGATTTCCATCCCTAAAGAACATTAGCATACAAGATGGGTTTTTTTGACAATCGATGATGGTAAGGCTAGTTTTATATTTCAATTTAATTGTTGAATTTAAATTCCAGATGCCATGAACCCATATCCCCAGGGCATTAGCCTGGCCCTCTGGATTACTAGGCCAGTATGCCACAATCTCTACTGTTTGGGGGCCAGAATCTCAGTGGAAATTCGAGCCTATGAATTATAAAGAATTGGGGATTGCTCACTAACCTCCTAATCTGACTCCAAGAGCCTGTTTCTCAGAATCATGACCCTGGTATGAACCAGCTTTGTTTTCTGCCCTGGGACTATCCAGCTGTACAGGGCTTGGGCAGGGTCTCTACCTTCAAGAAAGTTCTAGCTGATTCAGCCATAGTAGCTGTTACAAAATATCAGAAATAGGAGGAATAGAGCATTTGGCCCATCGAACTTGGTCTGCCAGTCAGTGTGATCATGGCTGATCTATCGCTACTCCACTTTCCCACCCAGTCTCTGTAGATTCCCTGAGACCAAAAATCTGCCTGTCCCACCCTTAAATAGATTCAATAATTGAGCATTCACACCCTCTGGGACAGAGAATTTCAGGATTCACAACCAACTGAGTCAAGACGTTTCTCCTCATCTCAGTCCTAAATGATCAGTCCCATGTTCCAGGTTCCCCAGCCGGGGGACATAACTTCTCAGTATCTATCCCGAAAAGCCCCTTCAGAACCTTGTATGTTTTGAGGTGATCACCTCTCACTCTGCCAAACTCCAGTGAATATCGGCCCAATTTACTCAGCCTCCCATCATAGGACATCCCCCTCGTCCCAGGGAGCAATCTGCTGAATCTTCTGTGTACTGCCTCCAGATGTGCAGGTGGAAGAACCTCAAAGGCTGATGTTTCAAAGTTGTCAGAGTCCAACAATAGCCATATTACCTATAAAAGGCAATAAGGGCTTTAGAGAAGCTTCCCCTCCACGAAGCTACTCCGTGGGATTGTCATTGCTGCTATCATTCACCTGCAGGCGATACTTGGAAGGTCAGTGGATGCCCCATCTCTCCCCCCCCCCCCCACCCCCCAATTTCTAATCATGTGGAGAGGAGTGGTCACCAGTCTTCTCTGTTGGGGTAGAGAGAGGAAACTGCGGTTGCTGTTAGGCCTCTGCACCAGACTCGTGTTGTTTCCATCATTGTACATACTGACTTGGAGCAAGTCTTCTGAGGAAATTCCAGCCCAGAGAGGTCTTGAAAAAACTGGCCAATGCAGTACAGTTTCTCTCATTTCTGCCTAATGTACAGCATTCCCATGTGAGGCATGAACAATGGTAGGGATTTCCTCAATATTTCTCTCAAATAGTTAAAGCTTGTTGACGTTCTGGTCACTGAGATATGCTTGGACTAACAGGGCCTTTCTCCTTTAGGTGCAAAGTGCATTTAAAAGGCAGTGGTCACAGTACAAGGTCCAGTGCAGCCACCAATTAACAAGCACAGATGTCTTCCACTCTAACGCAACATCTGTGGCAGAGATCACAAGATACATGCTCACACAGCCCACGAATACAAACCACATCAACAGCAAAAGCTGCCCTGAGACCGTTGCAGTGAAAGTGCCAAGCATCCACATGTGAGGGACAATCAAGACCACCACCACGCCTTTCAGGCTTTCTTCAATATCTTCGCAATATAGAGACAAAAAGGCTTTCCTTTACATACAGCATGATCCTATGTCTTAGGAATCTTTCAGTGCTCTAATTTACAAGGAATTTGTTGGAGGTCCAATTCTTGTTATGTATCACATTTATGTATATGTTGATGTTTCTGTAACCCAGTGACTCACTGTGACTTGTTATGCTACTTGTGAGATTTTCTGAACAGTTCAATAGGCCAGTCATGAAAAATGGTCCAGGAAGAAAGGCCTCAAGATTTCCATTCTGAAAATTCAGAAGTCACAGAACTATTTTGACACCACTTTTAACATAGAGTGAGGCACTGCTGGATACTCTATGACACCTGGGTGAACTTGTGACAAAAATCAGTTTTGGGGCAGCATGGTGGCTCAGGTGGTTAGCACTGCTGTGTCACAGCACCAGGGACACAGGTTTGATCCCAGCCTAGGGTGACTGTCGGTGTGGAGTTAGCACATTCTGCCCGTGTCTGCATAGGTTTCTGCCGGATGCTCTGGTTTCCTCCCACAGGTTAGGTGGATTGGCCATGCTAAATTGCCCTGTAGTGAGCAGGCTAGGTAGATTAGACATAGGGAATTCAGGGTTACAGGGATAGGGTAGGGGGGTGGATCTGGGTAGGATGCTCTTCGGAGGGTTAGTATGGACTTGCTGGGCTGAATGGCCTGTTTCTACATTGTGGGGATTCTATGATTTCCTGGCTTTCTGTAAAATTAGTACTAGAGCTAGTTACGTACAAGACAGAAGGATTATGTATTTCAGTTGACACTTGCATGGCTTCAGGACATCTCAACATGCTTCATAATGTACTTCAGAGCTACAGTCGCTGTTCTTTGGTTGAAAAATGTGTTTACATCTTGCTGTGAATCATTACCACCTAATGATCTCTCGGCTCCAGTAAACCATAATACATCATTTAATACACTATTCCCAGGAATACATGGGCCATGTACCAACTGAATTGAGGCCTTACTCAGGCCTCTTTCCACCTTCTAGATTCTAGGGATTTCTGCTCATCACCTTCTGTTAAGACAGGAATACTGTACCTAATGTTTTTTGCCCCTTCTCTCAGGAAGTGACCTCTGTCGAATTACACACATAGCTCAACAGTAACTTGCCTTAGATGGTGAAATATCTCCACAAAGGCCTGTATCCCCGTCACAAAGTCATCCTTTATTTACACATGCATTGTATATGACACTGACCCAGCTTCTAGAGTGAGTTGAACCCCTGACACTCCTGTTTATATGTCAGCCACGGCTCCCTGATTGGACCAGGTTAATAGCCCAATCAGGGAATCAATATTATATGAGATCCACTTGGTGAACCTTATTACAAACATTGCAGACACCACCTTCCAAACTCTCAACTACTACAAGGACAAGTGCTTAGAACCACCACCACCTGTAAGTCCCACGCCTCCTGACTTGGAGATATATTGCAGTTTTTTCAAGTGTCACTGGGTCAAAATCCTGGAATTTCCTCCCTCATGGCAATGTGGGTCTACCTACAGCACATGGACTAAAGGCAGATCACCACCACCTTCTCAAGGGCAAAGAGGGATGGGCAATAAATACTGATCCAGCCAATGACACCCGCATCCCTGAATGAATTTAAAAAAATATCTGGGAAGCACAGTCAGACATGAATGGCTCACTTGTGTCTCCACTTTGGAAAACTCTTCATTATATTCCAGAGATTATTTTCCCCCAGATTTCAGAGGCGAGAAATCAGACAATATGAAATCTGCATCTGTAAATAGGGAACTGAGCGATAAGTACCATTCAGTCTCCTCTTCCCAGTTTCTGATTCTGGCCATTTTGCTTACAATTATAAATCACTCGTTACTTGATCCCCAGCATTCTGGAATGTTCCAACATGAATGCTTATTTGTTAACCATTTCTGAATCTTTCAGTTTAATGTTGGTCTGTTTGTGAATCTGCAAGAGATTAAAATAAACCACGAAATATTGCTGGCTGAAATTGTGATAACTCTGGCCTCAGTAAATCACCAGACAGCCACGCAGAGCAGAAAGGGCAATGGTTTAATCTGTGCTCCATTAGCTGCTCTCTGCTCAGGGTTGGCGACTTAGAATTGGATTAAAGAGAGACCTGAAAATCACTCAGGATTCAGCACCTCGTGCATTCCATCCATTTCTGCTAGGAACGCTGTGCAAAGGCACTGGGCAAACAACAGGCTCTGCTGTGGAGTCCTCCAAGGTCAAATAACCCGATGATTTCCTACATTCAATTTTGAAGGATATCCAGCAAGAAAGGCGACAGTTCCAGGACCAGTGGGGAGAAACTGAAATGAAAGGTTTAATTCCCAGCCTCTATCTCAGGATGAAGATTGTACCTTGTCCCAAAGAGAGGCTGCAAAGGAGTTACATTCTTCTTTTGTTTTTGAGTGCTTTGCATTTTCTCACCAGGATAGATAAAGCGGAAGCAGAGGATGTAATATATTTGGATTTTCAGAAGGCATTTGATAAGGTATCACATATTAGGCTACTTAATAAGATGACAGCATGGACAGAGGATTGGCTAACTCAGAGAAGACAGAGATTTGGGATGGGGAGGGGGACATTTTCAGGATGGCAACCCATAACTTGTACTTTGCACAGGGATCAATGCTGGGACCACAATTATTTGCAATATATATTAATTACTTTGATGAGGAAAGTAAATGTATTATAGCCAAATTTGTGGATGACACAAAGAGCCTGCAGAGTATGTAGACAGGTTAAGCGAGTTGACAGAAACACTGCAGCCAGAATAAAGTGTGGGAAAATGTGAGGTTATGGCACTTTGGTAGGAAGAATACAGGAGATGAATATTGTTTAATGGAGAAAGACTGCAGAATGCTACAGAAAGTTTAGGGAGCGCTCGTCCATGTGTCACAAAAAGCTTTTATCTCAAAGGGAATGAAGTATAAAAGTAATGAGGTTTTGCTAAAACTATATAAGGCATTAGTCAGACCACAGCTAGAGTACTATGAACAGTTTTGAGTCCTTTATCTAAGAAAGGATACACTGGCATTGGAGGCAGAAGGTTCACTGGGTTGATACCAGGTGTGGAAGGACTGTCTTATGAGGACAGGCTGAGTAGTTTGGGCCTGTACCCATTGGAATATAGAAGAATGAGAGGCGACCTTATTGAATCATACAGGGGGACTTCTGGGTTGATGTGGAGAAGGTGTTTCCCCTTGTGGGAGAGTCTAGGTCCAGAGGGCACAATCTCAGAAATGGTGGGGTCGGGGACTGGTGTCGCACACTTCAGACAAAGATGACGATGAGAAATTTTTTCTCCTTAAAGGTAGTGAATCTGTGGAATTCTTTACTGCAGAGGGCTGTTGAGGCTGGGTAACTGAGTATATTCAAGGCTGAGATTGACAGCTTTTATCAGGAAGGGGTTCAAGGGTTATGGGACTAAGACAGGAGAAGAGGAGTTGAGGATTATTAAATCAGCCATGATCTCATGGAATGGCAGAGTACACCCAAAGGGCTGAATGGTTGATTTCTGCCTCAATGTCTTATGGTCTTAAATCTTCCCTGAAAACCTTGTACTGTGGATTATTAAGCTCCAAATCCTTCCTCTCTTTCAACAAGGTCTGTTAAGTGCTTTGCATTCACACATGTGCACTCCAAACCCATCTGGACTGTTTCCCATTTGCCTTCTGTCTGATCACACTATTTCTGAACTTTGTTACTTCAGCACTATTTGTCTGTCCCACACCCATGTGCCCCTTATTTCTCCTCTTCCATCTTTCATTCTGGTGCAAGTTCTCTAGAAAATTAGTTTAGACTCTTTACAGTACGAAATCTGTCCTTGAAATGAGACAAACATTGAACGCAGTCAGGAGCTGCTCCTGAATAAATAGCATTCTGAAAACTCAAGGTCTGTTTTTTAAACAATCAATTTTTGTGAATACATTATGTTATGTTGATTTGCAAAGTATTTTTGCTTCTTGAATAAGCTTTCAAACTAAGCAGTATAGACATATCTACCAATAAAGATACACAAGTTGAGTATTCATCCAAAAGCATCTTCTCAGTCCTAGGAAAGCTCTCACAGTGGCAAATGAAGTGCATTTTGAACTGTAGTCACTGTTGTCATGTGCATCATTCAGCAGCCAGTCTATGCACAGCAAGGTCACCAAAACAGCAATGTGACCATGGCTTGTGGCCAGGTAATCTTTTTTAGTTATGGTTGGTGAGGAAAACTGGGGATAAATCCTCTGAAGTTCTCTGAAAATTATCATGGGATTTTTAACATCCATCTGACAGAGGGAGACTTGGCTTAACATCTCACTCAAAAGTCAGCATCTCTAACAGGGAAGTGTTCCCTCAGGGGTGTGTTGGCGTGGTTTGCATGTCTAAGTGTCCAGAATGGGATTCTCACCCATGACCAGCTAAGCCAAGCTTTCATACAGCCCATGTTAACAGTATCGGCTCTGCTATATTTTACACAATAATAAGGATCACAGACAATTGCGGGATAAATGAACACACTATTAGGGAAATATCTATTTTAATTAAGGCATATAAACATCTGAATTATATACATATCTTTGATATAATATAGTGCACAAGGTTGATATTGGTACAAAATAATTCGTAGGAGACTGCCACATGCCAAAGGTGATTTCTCAAAAATATCCACAATCAATAAGCAATTTACAATTTACAATCACTCACATTATATCAAAGATTAGGTGGGGAGAAATTGGATTTTTTATTAATAACTTTGAACTCTGTTATAGCCCCTTTCAGGAAATCTCAGTTTAACACACAATGTTACAGAAATCACTCAAACATCGACAGTACATAAAATGGTTTCCTTTTTCCTCAGTGCAATGCTTGGAAATAAAAGCAGGTAAAGCAGATGGCTGTCACCTCGCTGTTCACTTGCTTATTCTGAGCTGAATCATCAAATTCAGCTCCAATTCAGATGAGATAAACATCTGTTTACTGGCTGGGAGGGAGGAGCGAACGCCAAATACGTTTACAAAACATGAAACTTGTTACTGCTGGACATTGGTCCATAACTGGACAGTTACCATCACCTCAAACAAGCAGGGGGAAGAGTGGGAACCTGCAGATAATACCAAATCAAAGAAAGAAATGAAATTTGGGCAATAGAACAAAAAGGACACTGGGGTTGGACAATGGGCCCTTTAGCAGTGTTCACTTCACTTCATAATGTAGCACTTAAAGGAGAGTACCTTGTTTTTAAATGCCTTAGACAGCTGAATGGCCTCCCTAATACCTGCAGCATTTCCTCTAACTCATCTGTCTCTGTTCTATACAAGTCATATTATGTGTGTCACGAATACTGTTTTAGCCATGTAAGGTTCTGATTATTGAGATCATTTTGGAATTCTGAGTTGGAGGGGAAAACAGGGAAAGTCTATCTCTTGAATTATGATAGCTCTTCCTTATAATCCAAAAGAACTCCACAACCCTCCAATCTAGCATTTACCTGTTTTACATATGGTTCAGATCCAGAACACTACAGCACTTTATCCCAAGTTTCATTTTATATGATGTGATGCAAACAAAGTCTGGAATAGATCTGAAAGGCACTTGAATACCACACATATTTCTACCTGAAGCTTTCCACTCTTTGCAAAATATTTTATTCTCAAACTTGAAAACCTTATTAATGGGAATTAAAGTTCGATAAACTAGGAAAAAAACCTGTTATCTCTTGTTCATGATGCAAGTTTCCAAGGTAACGTTGCCAAAGTTGAAAGGCCTTAGTAAATGGGGCAAATTTAGCACACAACAGGAACAATGGCATGAGCAAAGTGGAAAAAGGGCTTGAGAAACCTTGCCAACACATCGTATTCTGCACATTGCAACATTTAAAACTGAAGCAAAAGTTGTAGGTTTAAAACTTTCATTAAGTTAATTTGATATGGGAAAGATGTGAATGGGCTGAATGGAGTTATTTTATAAAATTCTGTACACAGGGGCTGAGTACTGTTTGAAAAATAAGGGGTGTGAAGAGAACATTTTACAAATGCAAAAAGTATCTGAACTCTGCAAAGTTTGATGGGGAACAAACATTTCTTGAATTGCTGGCATTGTTCTGTCAGTGTCTTTCTTCTTCTAATGAATGATACCCCAACAACACATGCAGTTGAGCGATCTTCAGGATTGCATCATACCACACCTCCCCAATACTTCTTCAGTGAACAGAAGTTCCCCCAGTGTTTTTAATGTACAATGTATAGTAGCTGTGCACTCAAATGTTCTGACTGAGGCTTGCTATCTTACCCAGTGCAGTGGAGATGCGCCACAGAAACAACAAGGACCATAACATAGGGAAGAGCATACTACTGGCAACATTTGTTTCACAATGCAGACTGACTGCTGATGATAATGTAATTGAAGGAAGGAACAGGAATGCTCATTTGCAGCAGACAGATCAACACCTGAAAGGGAAAGTATTGATGGGATATTTCCTATCTGGGTCACTCACCTTACTGTGAGCTGGTAATTACTGCCACATTGATAATAATAACAGGGTCAGAAGTGCAGCCCCATCAGTAGTGTGGGTAAGACACTCTACCCAGAATTTAGTGTGAGGAGATGACAGCTCACATCTGTATGCTGTCTGATGATCCTGGGATCCCATATAAAGACTTAGTGCATTTGTACACCGCTAATTATAGAACACTTGAGGGCTGTACTACCAGACAGGAGCAGATTCCTCAAAAACATTCTATCAAAAGCAGCTTGCAGACAGCAAACAAGGACAAAACTAGTTTTGATCAGCTCATAATTTGTTGTCTGCTATTGATATTTTAACAGCTTTGGATGTGCATGTAGAGATCAGCATCAGGGAGTGTTCTTACCAATTGCCAAGGGTGGGTAATTGAGGTAATCAATTAATATTGGCCTACAGTAATAGCAAAAGATTTGAAAGCAGTCATGGCTTTTAGTGTTTTAAAGCAGGATTTAACAGATAATGAACAAAAGCAATCAAAATAGACATGTCCTATGTAACCATTTGTTAAATACACCAATGGAATTGCAGAGTTACATAAAATGGCCAAATATAATGGTCAATTCTGCACACATTCTGTGCAGTTACAGGCTCCAACACAGCCAGCAGATGTCAGTAGGAAGAAGAACATGCTGTGTTCAGGAAGAAGCAGACTGACAGCTCAGCCGCTCAAAGGATGCAGGTCAACTTTAACCTTCTCTCCATTGCTAAGCATTCCAATGGTGGGGTAGAATCCTCCAGATGGCACTGGGGCTTCCTTCCTGCCAATTATCTTTCCATTTCGAGTAAAAAATACCTGAAAGAGATTTTCAAATAAAAATTTGCACTGCAGAGGGAGAGACGCTGTACAGTGTAAACAGAGCAACAAAAGAAATGAGCATTCTCAATTCAAGTCTCAACACTTTGACACCTGGTAATCTTACTGGGAAGTGTGTCCCTCAATTTGTGAACAACATCAATTTTATAATGTTGCCCAGATACTGTAAAACTGTGCCTAAAGTTGATGTAGGAGAATTCAGTCAGTCACCTGCTTCATCAGTGCAAGTTAACTGTCAGCGATAGGACTCATGAATACCTTTCCCAAAACATATTTGATTTCCAAATTCTCTTCCTCCCCAAAGGCAGTGGAGCTCCAGTTCAAAAGTGCACAAAAACATCAGCTCTGTGTTTTGGAGTTTGAGCAGTGGATGGAGACACTGTAGCACATCCACGAGGCTGAGAGTTACTTGGAGAGCACGTTTAGCGAGGTGGTCACACTGCACCTCACGGGACTGGAGGAAAGAAGGGAATGGGTGACCACCAGGCAGTCAAAGAGAAACAGGCAAGTAATGCAGGAGTCCCCCGGGGTTCCACTCACAAATTGGTTTCCCTTTCTGGAAGCTGATGAGGGCACTAGTTCCTCATGGAGTGCAGACAGAGCTAAGCTTCTGACACCACAAGTGACCTTACTGTATAGGAGGGGATGAAGAAGAAAGCTGGAGTGATAGTGATAGGGGATTCCTTAGTTAGGAGAAGAGACAAGCATTTCTACGGCCACAGACATGACTCCAGCTTGGTGTATTGCCTCCCTGGTGCAAGGGTGAGGGATGTCACTGAACAACTGCAGTGCATGCTGAAGATGAAAACGTTGCGGTACATGTTGGTACCAACAATATAGGTAGAATGAGAGATGAGGTCAAGAATTCAGGGAGCTAGACAGTAGACTAAAAAGCAGGTCCTCAAAAGGCTGTAATCTCTGGATTACTCCCAGTGCCATGTATTAGCAAGTACAAAAATAGGAGAATATTGTAGATGAATGCCTGGCTCAAGAGGTAGTGCAGGAAGGAGGGTTTTATATTCCTGGATCACTGAACCCATTTCTGGGGGAGGTGGGAGCTCTACAAGTGGGACACTTGTGGGAGGGTTTGCTAATGTTGTTGGGAGGAGTTTAAACAAGTTTAGCAAGGGGAGAGGAAACAATACATGAGGAAAATAGGAACACAGCACAAGATAGTAAAGGAACCAAGACAGACAGAGTTCAGCCATGTTGAGATACAAGGGAGTAAGGAGAGGCTGGGTGGCGTATTATAGGTAAAACAGATGAGTTAAGGCATGGATTGGCATGTGGAATTGTAATGTTGTTGCCGTCATAGAGACGTGAAGGGTATAAAAAAGAAAGTGGTGTTGCATTATTTATTAAGCGTTTAGTTACTGCAGTAAGGAGGGATGATATCTTGGAACAGTCATCAAACGAGGCTTTATGAGTAGCATTTAGGAATGAAAAGGAGGCAGTCATGCTGTTAGGAATGTATTATAGACCCCCAAACAGTCAGCGGTCAATAGAGGAGCAGATATGTAGACAATTCACCGAGGTGTGCAAAAACAATAATGGGTTAATTATATCAGGCAATTACAAATTCCACAATATTAACTGGGATAATCTTAATATGAAGGGTTCAGACGGGGCAGATTTTCTGAAATGCATTCAGGAGAGCTTTTTATATCAACATGTAGCTGGTCCTATAAGGGACGAGAGTGCTGGCCCTAATTCTGGGGAATGAAGTCAGATAGGTGTTCGAGGTGGGCCGTGAAAAAGCATTTTAATGATGATGACCATATCACCGTACATTTTAAGTTTGTTATGGAAAGGGAAAAAGATGGTCTGCAGAAAAGGGTTTTGGAGTTGGGGAAGGCAGATTTCATTCAAAACCTTAGTCCTACTAGGGCATAGGGCTGCTCTCTCATTACAGACAGAGACAACTGATGCCAGTTTAACCTGAGGGTCACCATGCCTCAGGCACATGGAGAGGTTGAGAAGGAGAGTCCTTCATGGTCAGGACCTCAGCTGGGGTGGGAATTGAACCCACGCTGTTAGCATCATTCTGCATTGCAAACCAGCTGTCCATAAGTAAAGTAGACAGGGATTAGCTACTTATGGGTAAAGCTACAGCAGAAGAGTGGGAGGGTGTTCAAAACAGAATTGGAGAGAGTACAGGCCCAACACATTTCCTTTAGGGTGAAATGTAGGAGCAATGAGCCCAGAGAACCCTGGATGTCTAGGGATATTCAGGGCTGGATACAAAGGAGAAGAGAGGCTTTTAACAGGTACACAGTGATCAATGGAGGCCCGAGCAAAACTTATGAAAGCAATTAGGAGAACAAAGAGGGGCATGAACAAACACTGGTGGGTAAGATTAGGGAGAATCCCAAGGTATCCTACAAGTGGCATGGTGGCACAGTGGTTAGCACTGCTGCCTCAGAGCACCAGGGACCCAAACTCAATTCTAGCCTTGGGTGACTGTCTGTATGGGGTTTGCACATTCTCCCTGTGTCTGCATGAGTTTCCTCTGGGTGCTCCATTTCCTTCCACAGTCCAAAGATGTGCATATTAGGTGGATTGGCCATGCTAAATTGCCCATAGTGTCCAGGAGTATGCAGGTTAGATAGATTAGCCATGTTAAATGTGGGTTTACAGGGATAGTGTGGGGTGCTAGCTTTGGGTGGAATGCTCTTCGGAGGGTCGGTGCAGACTCAATGCGCCAAAAGGCCTCTTTCCGTACTGTAGAGATTCTATGAAGTATACCAAGGGGAAGAGGATAACCAGTGAACGAGTAGGGCCATTAGGGACCAAGGGGCTATCAGTTCACAGAGCTGGAGGACATTGGTCAGGCGTTAAATGAGTGCTTCACATCTGTCTTCACTTTGGAAAAACAGGATGCAGGTACACAATTCATAAAGATAAACTGTGAGGTTCTTCATCAGTTTGACACAGGGTGAGGTGGTCTTGGAGGTTTTAGTCAGTCAAAAATAAACAAATTGTAAAGGTGAATGTGTTGTATCCAGGTTGCTGTGGGAGGTGAGGGTGGAAATTGTACAGACTTTAAGCCAAATTTTTAATTCCTCTTTGGCCACAGGCGAGTTGTCAGAAGACTGGAGGACAGCTAATGTGGTTCTACTCTTCAAGAAGGGTGCTAGGGATACTGTTGGAGAAAATTCTGAAGCAGAGAATTAACCTCCACTTTGAGAGGCAAGATTTGATCAGGGACAGTCAACATGGCTTTGTCAGAGGGAGGTCATGTCTAACAAATCTGATTAATTTTTGAAGAGGTAATCATGTGTGTAGACGAGCATAGGGCAGTTAACGTAGTTTATATGGATTTCAGAAAAGCCTTTGACAAGGTCCCACATGGGAAACTGATAAAGAAGGTAAAAGTGCATGTGATCCAGAGTAACTTGGGAAGTTGGATCCAAAATTGGCTTACTGACAGAAGACAGGCGGTGATGGTAGGAAACTGTGTGACTGGAGGCTGGTGTGCAGTGACAGACCTGAGGGATCAGTGCTGGGTCCATTATTGTTTGTGATATGTTTAAACAATGTGGATGAGAATGGAAGGAGGGGAATGATAAATAAGTTTGTGGGTGACAGAAAGATTGGCAAGTCGTTGACAGTGAGGAAGCTGATTCTTGTACTCAATTCCCTGACCAATAACGGCAAGCATGCTATACGCCTTCTTTACCACCAGACTAACCTGCATGGCCACTTCCTGTACATCAATGCTGTTCAGTGTCCTGCCATTAACTGTATACTTTTCCTTAATATTTGATCTTCCAAAGTGCAGCACTTCACACTTATCCAGATGAAACTCCATCTGCCATTTTTTCTCCGCCCATATCTGCAGCTGACCTATATCCTGCTGTATCCTTTGACAACCTTTTACACTATCAACAACTCCACCAATCTTTATATCATTTGCAAATTCACTAATCCACCCATCTACATTTTCATCTAAGTCATTTAAATATATCACAAACAGCAGAGATCCCAGTATGGATCCCTGCAGAACACCACTACACACGGACATCCAGCCTGAAAAACCTTCCGCCACTACCCTCTGCCTTCTATGGGCAGGCCAATTCTGAATCCATGCAGCCAAGTCACTGTGGATCCCATGCACCTTAATTTTCTGGATTAGCCTACCATGAGGGACCTTGTTGAAAGCCTTACTAAAATCCACAGACAACATCCTACTGCTCCACCCTCATCGATCACCTTTGTCACCTAGAGACATAGAGCTGTACAGCACAGAAACAGACCCTTTGGACCAACTCATCCATGCCGACCAGATATCCTAAATTAATCTAGTCCCATTTGCCAGCATTTGGCCCATATCCCTCTAAATCCTTCCTATTCATCTATCCATCCAGATGCCTTTTAAATGTTGTAATTGTACCAGCCTCCACCACCTCGTCTGGAGGCTCATTCCACACACGCACCATCCTCTGCATGAACAAACTGCCCCTTAGGTCCCTTTTAAATCTTTCCCTTCTCACCTTAAACCTATTCCTGCTAGGTTTGGACTCCCCACCCCGGGGAAAAGACCTTGTCTATTCACCCTATCCATGCCCTTCATGATTTTATAAACCTCTATAAGGTCACCCTTCAGCCTCCAATGCTCCAGGGAAAATTCCTCAAAAAGCTCAATTGAGTTAGTAAGACATGACCAGCCTCTTATAAAGCTATGCTGACAGTCCCAAATTAGGCCATGCTTTTCCAAATGCACGTAAATCCTATCCCTAAGAATTCTCTCCTATAGCTTCCCAACCAGCGATGTTTCCTGGATTACCCCTATTTCCCTTCTTGAACAGAGGAACAACATTAGCTACTCGCTAGTCCTCTGGGACCTCTCCAGTGGCTAGCAAGGATACAAGCATATTGGTCAAGGCCCCAGCAATCTCCTCTCTAGCCTCTCTCAATAACCTGGGGAAGATACCATCAGTCCTTGGGGATGTATCCACCTTAATGCTTTCTTGCAGTTAATACTTAATGTGAATCTTACAGATCTGTTGTCTTAAAGGATATTCAATTATTTAAATTCATTCATGGGCTGTGGGCATCACTGGCGAGGCATTTACTGCCCATCCCTCATTGATCTTGAGAAGGCATTCCATACCTCCTTGAACCACTGCAGTCCATGTGCTGTAGGTAGACTCACAGTCCTGTTAGAGACGGAGTTCCAGGATTTTGACCCAGCAACAATGAAGGAATCATGATATGTTTCCAAGTCAGGATGGTGTGTGGCTTGGAGAGGAACTTAACAGGTGGCAGTATTCCCATGTTTCTGTTGTCTTTGTCCTACCAAATGGTAGAAGTCATGGGTTTGGAAGGTGCTGTCTAAGGAGCCTTGATGAGTGGCTGCAGTCCATCTTGCAGAGGCACACACTGCATCAATAGTGGAGCAAGTGAATGTTTAAGGTGATACATAGTGTATGGATCAAGCGAGCTGCTTTGTCCTGGATGGTGTCAAGCTTCTTGAGTGTCGTTGGAACTCCACTCATCCAGGCAAGTGGGGAGTATTCCATCACACTCCTGACTTGTGCCTTGTGGACAGACTTTGGGGGTGTCAGGAGGTGAGTTATTCACTGCAGGATTCCCAGCATCTGTTCTGCTCTTCTAGAGACAGTATTTATGTGGTGCATCCAGTTGAGTTTTTGGTCAACAGTGACCCCAAGATCTTGATAATGCTAGATTCAGCAATGGCAAATCCATTGAATTTAAGGGCCAATGGTTAGATTGTCTCTTGCTGGAGATGATCATTGCCTGGCACTTGTCTGGTGTGAATGTTACTTGCCACTTGTCAGCCCAAGTGTCCAGGTCTTGCTGCAATTGGACATGGACTGCTTCAGTATCTGAGGAGTCATGAACAGTGCTGAATATTGTTCACTGATGATTGCACATCCCCACTTCTGACATTACGTTAGAAGAAAGGTCATCGATGAAGCAGCTGAAGATGGTTGGACCTAGGACACTACCCTGAAGAACTCCTGCAGAAATATCCTGGAGCTGAGATGACTGACCTCCAACAACCTCAACTATCTTCCTTTATGCCAGCTATGACTCCAAGCAATAGAGAGTTTTCTCCCTGAATCCAACTGGCTTCTTGATGTCACACTCAGTTTAATGCAGCCTTGATGTCAAGGAATGTCGCTCTCGCCTCACCTCTGGAATTCAGCTCTTTTGTCCATGTTTGAAACAAGGCTGTAATGAGGTCAGGAGCTGAGTGGCCCTGGCAGAACCCAAACTGAGTGTCGTGAGCAGATCATTGCTGAACAGGTGCTGCTTGATAACACTGTCGATGACCCCTTCCATCAGTTACTGTTAATTGAAAGAAGACTGATGGTGCAATGGCCAGGCAGGTTCTGGAGCACATCTTCAGTACTATTGTTAGAATGTTGTCAGGACCTGTAGCCTTTGCATTATCCACTGTTGTCAGCCGCTTCTTGATAACCATGTGGACTGAATCAAATTGCCTGAAGACTGGCATCTGTCATGCCGGAGACCTCTAGAGGAGCTCGAGATGGATCATCCACTTGGAACTTCTGACAGGACTGTTATGAATGCTTCAGCTTTAGCTTTTGCACAGATGTGCTGGCTCCCCCATCATTGAGGTTGGGGACATTTTTGGAGCCCTCTCCTCCATGGAGTTGCTTAATTGCTTGTTCACAACTGGATGTGGCAGGACTGCAGATTTTAGTTCTGATCCACTGACTCTGGGATCGCTTTGCTCTGTCTATCAATTGCTGCTTATGCTGCTTGGCACACAAGTAGTCCTGTTTGGTAGCTTCACCAGGTTGACACCTCATTTTTAGGTATGCCTGGTGCTGCTCCTGGCATATGCTCCTGCACTGTCCACTGAACCAGGGTTGATCACCTGGCTTGATGGTATTGGTTGTGTGGGGGATATACTGGACCATAGTTTGCAGATTGTGCTGTAGTACAATTCTGCTGCTGTTGATGGCCCACAGCACCTCATGGAAGCCTAGTCTTGAGTTGCTTGATCTGTTTGAAGTATGTCCCATTTAGCATGGTGATAGTGCGACACAACATGATGGGGGGTATTCGCAATGTGACAGTAGGACTTTGTCTCCACAAGAACTGTGTGGTGGTCATTCTTATTGATACTATCATGGACAGATGCATCTACAGCAGGCAAATTGGTAAGGATGACGTCAATAAGTTTTGGCCTCTTGTTAGTTCTTCATCATTGACCTTCAGGACTCAACCAGCTTGGTCAGTAGATGTGCCATGAGGCACGCTTGGTGATGAACACTGAAGCCCTCAACCTAGAGTACATTAGCATACTCAATGCATCCTCTAAGATGTGTGGAACATGCAGGAGTAATCGTTTATCAGTAGTAAACAGCAGGATGTTTCCTTGCCTATGTTTGACCTTAATGCCATAGGAGTTCATGGTGTCCACAGCCAATGTTGAGGACTCTCAGAGCAGCTGCCCCCTGACTGTGTATACCACTGTACTGGCAACTCTGCTGCATCTGGCTTGTCAGTGGGACTGGACGTATCCAGAGATGGTGGTAGTGGTGTTCCTGAGACATAAGCCATATTCATGGAATCCTACCTCTCACACAATGTCAGGTTGTTGATTGACTAGTCTGTGAGACAGCTCTTCCAATTTTAGCACTAGCACCCAGATGTTAGTAAGGAGGACTTTGTAGAGTCAACAGGGCTACATTTGCTACAGTTATTTTTAGTGCCTTACTGATGCCAGCTGGTTCATCCAGTTTCACTCCTTTTACCAGACTTTGCCACGGTTGAAGCAACTTGCTTGGTTATTTCAGAGGGCAGTTAAGAGTCAATCACATTTCTGTGGGTCTGGAGTCACATGTAGGCCAGAATGGATGGTAGATTTTCCTTCCCTAAAGGACACTGGTAAACCAGATGGGTTTTTAAATAGCAATTGACCTGATTGCCCATATCAGAAAGCCCAAAATGCTGCATGGTGAAGTCTAGTCACAGTTTTTGTGTCAAGAAATGCAGATTCAATTTGTACGTAACAGCAAGATCTCACAATTGACACTAGAACAAATACCAAATGAATCTTGTTTCAGTGGTGTTGTTTGAAAGATAAATATTGATCAGGGCACTGGGAAGAAATTACCATCTTCTTCTCCAAAATTAATGTCATGGAAATGTTCATGCCCACCTGAGTGTGCACGTAGGGCATCAATTTTATCATTCTTCAAAACGATGTCACTCCTTCAGGGCTGCACTGGAGTGTCAGTTTAGATGTTGTGCTCAAGTCTCTAAAGTGAGCATTGAATCTACATTCTTCTAAGAGTGCTACCAAATGAGCCACAGTTCGGTGAAAAAGTTATTCTGTGTCTTGAATAACACTTCAAATCTAGCTAAGATTTTCTTGCTTCTGCACAGGACAGAAGAGACTGCAAGGCTGACGATTGGGCAATTACTCCCTCACTTCCATGCTGACATTCTCTCTTTTTTCATTGTAAGCTTGCTGTGCTGATCTCAAGGCTTCCCACATTTGCCTCCTATTCCAACCTAATCTTTCCTTGGACCCCCAAACTCTGGGCTCTTGCAATCTGTAGGCTTTTAAAAGGTAAAGGTGAAGTCACCATAGTCCTACCAGACCGTAGGGCTACTTTCCCTTTAGAGAGACACAACTGGGAATGTTTAACCTAAAGGTCACCATGCCTCATGTAAGGGGAGATACTTTCAACATCTCCTGTGACATCAGTTAATCAGAACTTGCTGCTTGACCTCACTTGTTTTCCTCATGCACTGTGGCCCATTACATTCACAGTCTCTCCTAATTAATCAAAAAATCTCAGCTCGTTCTGTTCCCTTCAATTGGCCCTGCTATCTGAGAACAAGCCCAGGATAAGGGGGGAAAGTCCTACTGCACGTAACATGAGGTACCTAGATCACACAAACATTCCTAAAGTTCATAAAGTGGATCACAGCAGAACCATTTCCCATGTGATGTTTTACTGTGGCTCGCTCATCCTGGGTGGTATGGCAAATAACCTTGAAGGAGCTGAGGCAACAGTCAAACTAGTTCCTTGTTGCATCTTGTTTCCTGTTAGCAATTTAGAACACAAAGTTTTGTGTCCGAGGACTCTACATTAACCTCACCAAGCTCTTGTTCAGGCAATAATGTACAATGAAGGGAACCAAGATGACAAAGATGACTTTATAGAAAGGTGCAACATACTTGTGCGTTAGTTTGGAAGTCATGGGTCATCATTCAAAGGTCCTAGGACTGCTAAACAACTCTAATATGTCAGCAACACAATTGAGCTCCAACCAGTTCTTATTCCCATCCAGTCAGCTAGGCACAGTACTCTACAGAAACAGCAGAAAGAACAGAGTGGAGGGCACAGCAAACGTAGGACAGGAGAAGTGCCTCTGTACCGTTACTTTTTTTCCATCATATTCTTGCTCCATTTCCTCTCCTTCATCCTCTTCATCCTCATCATTAAAATACATGATGTTTCTCACACGTCTCTGTTTGGGCTTCACTTCTGCAGCATCAACATAGTCATCACTGTCAGCTGTAGAAAGAAATGGATGTCAGTCAGGATAACGTACTTTGAGGGAAAGATATGGGCAAACTATAACAGAAATGATGAATCAGGAATAGTTGGGCTGTAGGATGCTCCATCAAACTGAAACTAGTTTAGTTAACAACAGAGGAATGTGAAACCGAATCAACAGGTGACAGGCAATTTGCTATAGATGTAGTTTCTATGTACATCCTGGTTCTCCGCAAGATGTTTCCTTTAAATTTTTGGCATTGATTAATTCAGCCAAAAATTTGCACCCAAACGTTGCAGTCAATTCACTGCCTATTGGATTTCCTCTTTCCTGGAATGGATAAAGTATTTCCAGTTACTATATGGAAAGTACCTATATTGTTTCATAACTAGTGCTTGAAAGGGAAAGTGACCCCTTTGGTTTGGACATGGCCTCTGCATTTGACAGAACCACAGAAAACCCATCAATCATCCATAATCTCTCTGAATGGATCTTGTTCTGCATTTGGATACTGTTCCTGTCATTAATCCCACTGAAGCAGAGGGCCAGCTGGTGTATTTGTCAGTGTGCAGGTGGTGAGATGGGTGGCTGTCGAAAGAGACTAGGATACATTCAGTTTGGTGGTTACACCAAAGGTGCAGATTGAACAGGCAGAAAGGGCATAGATGACCACCAGGCAGAGTTGAGGTGGCAGGCAGTGCAGATGTCCCTCTTCCTAACAGATACACCATTTTGGATACTGTTGGGGGAGGTGAGTGTGCAGGGGAAAACAGTGGCAGCCAACTTCATGGCACCATGGATGAGTCTGCAGGACAGGATGGGAGGAAGAAGAAAGGCACAGATATAGTGGGAGGGGATTTAATTGTAAGGGCAACAGACAGGTATTTCGGCAGCCGCAAAAGAAACTCCAGGATGGTATTTTGTCTCTCCGGTGCCAGGGTCAGGGATGTCACTGATCAGCTGCACAGTATTCTTAACGGGGATGGCAAACAGACAGGGATTATGGGGTACATATTCGTACAAATATAGATAGAGTGGATAGAGGCATAGATAGAGTGGATAGTCAGAGACTTTTTTCCAGGGCGGAAATGATTATTATGAGGAGGCATAATTTTAAGGTGATTGGAGGAAGGTATGGGGGAGATGTCAGAGGTAGGCTCTTCACACAGAGTGTGGTGGGCGTGTGGAATGCGCTGCCGGCGGTGGTAGTGGAGTCAGAGACTTTAGAGAGTTTTAAGCGACTCTTGGATAGGCACATGGAGGATAGTAAAATGTAGGGTATGCAGGGTAGATTGATCTTAGTAAAATAATAGGTCGGCACAACATGGTGGGCCGAAGGGCCTGTTCTGTGCTGTACTGTTCCATGTTTTGTTCTACAAATGACACAGGTAAGAAAAGGGACAAAAACAGAGAGTACTGGAGAAACAGTTTCTTGTTACTCTGTCAAACTGTGTCTCATCTAGACAGAAAAAAGTATGAGGTCCTGGAAGCAGAATTTAGGGACCTAGGAAATACATTAAAGAACAGGACCTAAAAGGTAGTAATTGTTGAATTATTTCCAGTGCCAAGCGTGAGTGAGTACACAAATGGGAGAGTAGTCCAGATGAATGTATGGTTGGACAGATGGTGCAGGAGGGAGGTCTTTACATTTCTGAGACATTGGAACCGTTTTTGGGAGTTGTGGGACCTGTACAAGGCAGATTGGTTGCATCTGAACTGGAATGGGACCAACAGCCTTGAAGGGAGGTTTACTTGTGCATGAGGAGGACTTCAACTAACTTTGTAGGGGGTTGGGATCCAGAAGGACAATTAAGCAGGGAAAGATGAATGGCTAAAGTTAGAAGTGACAGCAAGTGAGTCAAGAAGGCATGTACAGCACAGGCCAGTTAAGGTACAAGGAAGCTTGGCAGGGTTGGATGATGTCTATTTTAATGCTAATAGTCTAATGAACGTGGTGGGTGAGATGAGGGCACAAATTAAAACATGGAGCTACAATATCATTGCTGTCTCTGAGACATAGCTGAGAGAGGGGACCGGTAGCTCAATATTCCAGGATACAGGATCTTCAGGTGGGACAGGAAAGGAGGTAAAAGAGGAGAACGTGTCATAATATTAACCAGGGAAACTGTCACAGCAGTAAGGGAGGGATAACATCTTAGAAGGTTCCGCAAATGAAGCCATATGGGAAAGCTTAAAAACCGAAGGGGAGCAATCACATTGCTAGAAATGTACTATAGGATCCCGAACGGTCTGAGACAAATAGAACAGCAGATATAGAATCATACAGTACAGATGAGGCCCTTCAGCCTATCAAGTCTGTACTGCTAAAGGTACACTACTACCTACACTAGTCTCACTTGCTAGCACTTCGCCCATTGCTTTGAATGTTATGACACTTCAAGTGCTCATCCAAGTACTTTTTAAAGGTTGTAAGGTTTCCTGCCTCAAATACCCTCCCAGGCAGTGCATTGCAGACGTCCACCACCCTCTGGGTGAAAAAGCTTTTCCTCAAATCTCTTCCTGTTTCCACTTTAAAATTATTCTCCTTTGTTATTGACATTTCAACTAAGGGGAACAGCTGTCCTGTCCCTATCCTACGGACACCTTGCCCATGCTCCTCATAATCTTATTCACTTCTCTGCTTCAAACAACCCAAGCTCATCTAGTCTCTCTTCATCGCTGAAATGCTTAATCTCAGACAATGTCATGGTGAATCTCCTCTGCACTCCCTCCAGTGCAATCATATCCTTCTTATAGTGCGATGACCAAAACTGCACACAGTACTCCAGCTGTGGCATGACCAAAATTTTGTACAGCTTCAACATAACTTTCTTGCTCTTACAATCTATGCCATGACTAATACATGCAAGCATCCTGTATGCCTTACCCACCCTATTAACCTGTCCTGCCACCTTCAGAGATGTGTGGACAAGCACACCAAGATCCCTTAGTTACTCTGAGCTTTGTTGTGTCCTGCCATTCATTGAGGACTCCCTCGTCTCTTTACTTCTTCCAAAGTGCATCATCTCACATTTATAAGGTGTAAATTCCATCTGTCATTGATCTGCTCATCTGACAAATCTGTCTATATCCTCCTGTAACCTAACACCTTCTTCACTGTCAACTATCCGGCTAACCTTTGTGTCCTCCACAAATTTACTTATCGTCCCGCCCACATTCTCATCTACAAACAATAAGGGACCCAACACTGAAACCTGTGGTATGTCACTGCACACTGGTCTTCAGGCTAACAGTAGAAAATCAACATCTACCAACCCTCCTAACCACCATGTCCTTCTCCTTTGTGAATACTGATGCAAAGTATTGGTTAAGGACCTCAGTCACCCCCTCTAGCTCCACACATAAATTCCTTCCTTTGTCCTTGAGTGGAGCTACCCTTTCCCTAGCTACCCTCTTGATCCTTTTATGTATGTATGTATATATTTATATATGCCTTGGGATTTCCCTTAATCCTGTTTGCCAAAGGCATTTCACGGCCCCTTTTAAGTGCTTTCCTACTTTCTTCATATTCTTCGAGGGCTCCGTCTTTCCTCAATTTAGTACATTTACCTGAGGACTTACTTCTATCCTTATCCATAAATAACTTAAATTTTTAAGTTTTATGGTTACTGTTCCCAAAACGTTTCCTCACTGAAACTTCGATCACCTGGCCAAGTTCATTCTCAAATACAAGGTCAACTGTGGCCTCTTCCCTAGTTGAACTGCTTACATATTGTTTCAAAAAACTGTCCTGGACATACCTAACAAATATCCCCGCCCATCCAAGCCCTTGGTGGTATGGGAAAGTTCAAATCACCAACCACAACAACCAGGTTGTTTTTACATTTTTACATCATCTGTCCACATATCTGTTCCTCTATAACCTGCTGGCTGATCTGTAGTACAATCCCATCAAAGCGATTGCACCCTTCCTATTCCTGAGTTCTACCTATATGACCTCAGCGGAGGAGGCCTCCAAGATGCCTTTCCTCAGAACACGTGATATTCTCCCTTATCAGTAATGCAACGCCCCCACCTCTTTTAAATTACTCTGTATCTCGCCTGAAACATCCAATGTTAAGCTGCCAGTCTTCACCCTCTCTCAACCAAATCATAGAGTCATAGAGTCATACAGCACGGAAACAGATCCTTTGGTTCAAATCACCCACAACAACCAGATATCCTAAATTAATCTAGTCTCATTTGCCAATATTTGGCCCATATCCCTCTAAACCCTTCCTATTCATGTCCCCATCCAGATGCCTTTTAAATGTTGCAATTGTACCAGTCTCCACTACCTCTGGCAGCTCATTCCATATGCACACCACCCTCTGCATGAAAATATTGACACTTTAGTCCCTTCTAAATCTTTCCCCTTTACTTTAAACCTACGTCCTTTAGTTTTGGACTCCCCTGCACTGGGAAAAAGGACCCTGGCTATTCACCCTAACCATGCCTCTCATGATTTTATAAACATCTATAAGGTCACCCTTCAGCCTCCACCACTCCAGGGATAATAGCCCCAGCCTATTCAGCCTCTACCTATAGCTCAAACCCTCCAACCCTGGCAACATCCTTGTCAATCTTTCTGAACCCTTTCAAGTTTAACAACTTCTTTCCTATTGCAGGGAGACCAGAATTGAACGTTGTATTCCAAAAGTGGCCTAACCAATGTCCTGTACAGCCACAACATGACCTCCCAACTCCTATACTCAATGCACTGTCCAATAAAGGCAAGCGTACCAAATGCTTTCTTCACTACCCTGTTGACCTGCGACTCCACTTTCAAGGAACTATGAACCTGCACTCCTGGGTCTCTTTGCTCAGCAACACTTCCCAGGACCCCACCATTAAGTGTATGAGTCCTGCCCTGATTTGCCCTACCAAAATGCAACACCTCACATTTATCTAAATTAAACTCCATTTGCCAGTCCTCAGCTGATCGGCCCATTTGATCAAGGCCCCCTTCTTCACTGTCCACTACTGATTTTGGTGTCATTTGCAAACTTACTAACCA